GAGAGAGAGAGAGAGAGAGAGGGAGAGAGAGAGAGAGAAGGAGAGGGAGGGAGGGAGGGAGGGAGGGAGAGAGAGAGATCTTATGCCTATTCAGAGAGGGAGGAATCCCTAGGATGGATTTCACCGGGAATAACAATTTTAAGTTAACAAGATTGAGAAGCTGGACAGGTCGCAGGATGTTTTCCTTGTATTTAAGGTCTATTTTTCCTTCTATTCTTTTTTTCCTTTTGAGATGAGAGGCCTTTCGTCGGTTCTAGTAAATATGGCATTACCCACCCTGCCAATTTAATATTCCTCTGGCAATTTTGCAGGAAATATGTGGCATGTTTTCCAAGATAAGATAGGCTTGGGGTGTAGAAAAAAAAAACAGTCTTCTGCTTCGGGCAAAAAAACACACAAAAAACACACAAACCAAAACAGAATAATGAGTAGTTTCTTCTTTTAAAGCATACCATCACGGTTAATAATGTAATCTATAGCTTGTTTTAAAAAAAAAACCCCTTACTGTCGTCATAATAAGTTCTTATCATTGCTGATACAATGAACGGAGGAGAAAAACAACACACTGGGATACTTGTGCGGCTTGGAAGTTCCTGTATTGTTCTGTGTCTTTCTTGAAAGTATTTTGCTACCAGCCAGAAAGAGCTGGGGGAATTGGTTACACCAGGTGCAGCTGTATTTAATAGTTGTGTTTATCACTTTGCTTGTCATGATCTACTTAGACAGACTGAGAAATTGCTTGATTTTACCCTTGCTAATTTTGTGAAGCATCTTCTAGCCTATAGCAGCAAAAACAACTTTTTTTTTCCCCCACTCTCCTTGGGTGAACCTAACAAAGAATCTCTACCAATTTCCTTGCCTTCCTTCCTCGGTGTGGCCAAACTGCAGCGGCGGAGTGAAAAATAATCACCACCCACTATCCTGTTTTTCATTCTTGCCTGGTTTTCAGATTGGATAGATGCTCTGGTAAACATCTCCATTAAGTACTACAGTGGAGCGTTATGGGGGACTACATTTGCTCTTGGTCTGAAAGTTTCATCTGGTAAGAACGAAAGCAACCAGGACTCCTCACAACACGTATCAAAACATTCTTCCAACAACTGCGCTGGCCGGTTCAAGATTTGTATTGTGCCCATACAGGCAATTCGGGACCAAGATTCTTGGTGGAATGACTTTAGGTTAGATGTGGCAATCACAAATGTCCTTTACTGGGGAAAATAGAGCCTGATTTCTCCTTATCAGCAGGAATATTAAGCTCATGGAAGACCCACTCTTGATTTTCCATAAGATTTCTCTGTTCATCCTTCTAAAAAAAACACACACACACACAGGTAAAATTTGCCCCCACCAAGTCATGTTTGACTCTAGGGGGTGGTAATAATAATAATAATAATAATAATAATAATAATAATAATAATAATAATAATAATAATAATAATAATAATAATAATAATAATAATAATAATAATAATAATAATAATAATAATAATAATAAAGTTGGAAGGGACCTTGGAGGTCATCAGGTCCAACCCCCTGCTCGGGCAGGTAACCCTATACCATTTCGGACAAATGGTTGTCCAGTTTCTTCTTAAAAACTTCCAGTGTTGGAGCATTCACCGCTTCTGGAGGCAGGTTGTTCCACTGGTTAATTGTTCTAACTGTCAGGAAGTTTCTCCTTAGTTCTAGGTTGCTTCTCTCCTTGATCAGTTTCCACCCATTGCTTCTCGTCCTGCCTTCAGGCGCCTTGGAGAAGAGCTTGACTCCCTCTTCTTTGTGGCAGCCCCTGGATATTGGAACACTGCTATCATGTCCCCCCTCGTCCTTCTCTTCATTAAGAGCATTCATTAATTAGCATTGGGAGCCAGCATTGTCCAAAGATGCTTCTGTGGTCATGTGGCCAGCATGACTGTATGCCAAGGCATATGGAACAAGTGGTACCTACTTGCATTTGCATGCTTTCAAACTGCTAGGTTGGCAGGAGTCGGGGTTTCACCCCTCTACGCCCACTCAAAAGTCAGGGGACTGCATTCCTGAACAGAATAACAAGAGTTGGAAGGGACCTTGGAGGTCTTCTAGTCCAACCCCCTGCTCAGGCAGGAGACCCTATCCTATTTCAGACTAGTGGCTGTCCAGTCTCTTCTTAAAGACCTCCAGTGATGGAGCACCCACAACTTCTGGTGGCAAGCTGTTCCACTGGTTAATTGTCCTCACTGATAGCCAAAGCTGAAATAGACATGGAGACATGGAGCCCAGCCACTGTATAGTGGGAGGCAATCCTGAGGTCCTCTGCATCTCCAAAGCTCCTCCTTGATGTAACATAGAAAATCTTCGTCTTCAACTCTCCACAGGGAAATACATCACTCTCCTGCCAGATCCCTTTGATCTGGTTTCAGTATGCCCCAGTACAGAGGACAGATAAGGAAAAGACATGTCTTCGATAAATGGGATCTCAGAATCAGGGCAAGGAGCTGGTCTTTTCCTGCACAACCATTCATCTATCTCTTTTTGATTGTATTGACTTTCCTAATTTTTATTAAAGCTCAGAGATTCCCAGGGAAGGATATTCCCCTGTCTCTCCAACACCACTGTAAGCAATCAGGGAGACTGTGGAGCATGTGTTGTAGGAAATAACCCACTAATATAATGTCCCAACTATCACCACCGTCTCTAACAGAAACAAATAAAGTAAGTTCACAAATAAAAAACAAGCACCTACAGAACCTCAAGAGAAATTCTCAGGAAAGGAATGTTCTGTTCTGTTCTGTTCTGTTTTTCCAAGGTAAGAAAACTTGTGAGAATTTGCAAGGCCTTTTAATGAAGGCTATTTCATTAGGACTAATTAAGGAGGAAAGCTCAAAAACAAGGCAGGAAAATCCTTGTGATTTTTGTCTCCAAAATGTGATACTTTTGGAGGAGATCTAACTTGGAAACACAGAATATGGTTTTTTTAGCAAGGACACCACATTCACACGCACACACAAAAACTGTAACTCTGTCCAGGCCTTATCTGAATGCATGAAGTATGAAAAGTGTGCTGCAAAAATATCATAAAAAGGTACAACATTTTTTGGGGGGGGGAACTGTATTCATTCTTGAAATGAAACCCCCGTTTGAATCCTTAGTAGTTTAGCAGAGGGAGATAAATGAAGTCCTCCCAACAATCGCAGCTTCGCAATGTGATATTTTCACATACCTGTATAAATAAATCTACCAGGAGCTCCTTTGCAAAACTGTTTGGATTTGTACGATAATGTTACTTCAACCACGCCAGGGATGTGACGAGGAGGTGTTTGGACCCGGATGGCAT